CAAGATCAGGTGATTTGGAGCCAGCATGGACTCTGCCTGGAATGTACAACGGATCATGGATTCAAGATGGATCCATATCACCTTCCTGAACCCCTGATATATGGTTTTCTTCTCAAATTCTTTATTTCCACTGCATCTTGGAGAGGCCGAGGAACACTGGTGAGCAACAAACCCAGATGTAATGGATGTTGTTGGTTGACTCTCCAGCATAGATTCTCCTTCATAATTGCTACCCACTGTGCAGGAACCACAGAATCATGGTCAGAGGGAAGCCCCAGGCCTGAGCAGTTAAGGGCTGGTAGGACCAAACAGGACCCAACTCTTTCTCACAATGATGGTTTTAGGGATGAAGTGGAGTGCAGGCATTAGGCAACAATCATTTCACTACCATGACTTGGTTCAGGGATGAACTAAATTTCTCTATCACAAGAAGTCCAACGCTTTTGTTCAATTACAGTCAAGAGAAACTGCTGATCAGTGGTAAACAGGTGGTGACACAAATCTTTCCCATGCTGTACCAAGCCCCATGCACACTACCATATAAAAATCCTTGAACCTTTGCCTTCTTCATGTTTATGGCCACACTTTGTTCAATCTTACACTAACAATCTCTCCCCTCTTTGCTCTGACTTTACTCTCTTGTTCTACAAATCCCAGAGTGGTCTCAAATGACACACCTGAATTTGCCATTTTCCTAGTCTAAGACTTTTTAGCATGAGCTTTGAAGATATTACTTTGAAGCCCAGCTCCGCCACTTGGCTGTGTAACTTTGAGCAGGTTTCTTAACCTCTCTGCAAATCTACTTACCTGAGCTATGATAACACTGTAATAGTCAGGATTCCTTCAGTTAACCAGTTTGAAAACTAACTCCAACTTACTAGGCAGAAAGGAGATCTGGATTCGTTCAATTTGACCATCTGAAGACCCAGTAAGGCTTCAGGAATAACATCATGAACTTATAAATTACCTATATTCTCTGACTGTGTATGTATGCATGTGTTACACATGTGTGTGAATGCACACATGTATGTGCATGTGCATGCACGCGCGTGTGCATCTGTGTGTGTGTGTGTGTGTGTTGGGGCAGTATCTCTCCATCTTTGTTTCTCTCTGCCTCTTAGCTACATTTTCTTGGACTGGCTCTTTCACGACTGGCCAACAGTTTCCAGGTCCACACTATCCAGTTATGTAGTAAAAGAGGAGAAATTCTACCAGAATCCCAAATCAGTGAGTCCAGGAAAGAATTTTTTATGTCTTGTCTTAGATCAGGAACCCATGCAGGGCTAGTTCACATGGGTCTGAGCAAGATGTGTAAGATGAAAGCATCCAGTTAAACCACATAATGGCACATTGTGCTGGATAGCTTTAGTGTCAACTGGACACACCTGGGTTGAGGGAGCCTCAATTGGGGAATTGCTTCTATTGGACTGGCCTGTGGCCATGTCTGAGGGGCATCTTCTTGATGAGTGATGTGGGAGGGCCCAGCCCACTGTGGGTGGTGCCACCCATGGGCAGGTGGGCCTGTGTTACATAAGAAAGCAGGCTGAGCAGGGGCCAGGGGAGCAAGCCAGTAAGCAGCGTTCCTCCATGGCCTGTGCCCCAGCTCCTGCCTCCAGGTTCCTGCCCTGAATTCCTACCTTGGGCTCCCTGATGAACTGCAGCCTGGGAGTTGTAAGCTGAATAAACCCTTTCCTCCCCAAGATGGTAGTGGTCAGAGTGTTTTGTCACAGCAATGAAGAAAAAAACCAGGACACACATGAAATTCCGAAGAATATTTATCAAAAGCAAATGATGCAGTGCTAGACAGACACAACTGTCATCTACAGATCTTACCTTGCATAGTCATTTAAGAGATCGAATAAGACTACATCAGTGAGCATTGAGTACGTAGAACAACAGGTTATGTAAAATTTTCTCTCCCCCATTCACTGGACTCTTGTTTTAAGGGCCACTGTTTTTCTAGACAGTGCCTTTGTCTCTAGCTAAGCTAATAAAAAATGTTCCCCCCTACCACATATGCCTCTGTGGGAATGACAGAGGTACATCATCAGTTCTTGTGCATCACTGAGCCTGCCCTCTGTCCACCTCAGAGAGCTGCCACTCCCAAAAAGTTGTACATTGCTCTTTCTTGGCTGATACATGGGTGTCTGCTTTTCCCAGGCCTTCTTTTCTTACTCCCATGCACCTCATAAGCCCCAGGCCAAAGACACCGCTTCTGCAAACCCTTCCTCAGCACACCCACAGCTATACACTACTGCCTCCTTTGCCTTCCTGAAGCCTGCTTTTTACTCTACTACAGTACTGATTACATTATATAGCAATTATCTATTTGCCCATCAGTTCTTTTCAGCTCCCCCTCTAGTGATTGCGGCTTGCCAGCTCTACATCCTCTGCCCAGAAATAAAGCCTGGCTTCTAGTAGACCTCAATTCATGCTTGTTAAATGAAATACTGAATGAATCAATGCTGAGGAGGAAGGAGGGAGTAGAGGAAAAAGAGAAGTAGGCTGTCTAGAAAAGTTCACTGTTCTCACACAGACCTGTGTCTGTTTCAATACTTACAGTTCAAACAAAAGGAAAAAAGGAAGCAGAGGCCTATGGGATACTTAGAAACAAAGTTGCTTCCTGTCCCTCAAGTCCCTGACATTTGAGAACTGTTCTTGGTTTTGTTCTGTTTTAGCACTTGGGCATTGTCGTCTTTGCCCATGGGAAAACCAGGGTCTTGCAGAGGTCTGTTTATTCTAGCTGAAGTGAGCAGGGGCTGAAACCCCAGGGCAGCATTCCGGATGACCGCCCCCCCGCCCTTTCTCAACCCACATCCACACCAGGTAGGATCAGCCCCAGAGCTCTAAGTATTCCTGGCAGTCTGTTTGGCATTACTGTGGGCCAAAGAATGAGGTCACTGTCGCCAGTGAAATCACCACAACATGATTCATCCCACCCCACTTGGAGTGTGCTCTGACATTCCCCGAGCTTCTTGCAGCTGTCCAGAACCTGGGGTCCCTGTACAAGGAGCTCACATGTGTAGAGCAGAAAACGCGAGCCCCAGAGAAGGGGAGGGACACAGCTAACTTGTGGAGCCTGGACCAAATGCAGCATTGAGGGGAGAGTTCTCTCCCACAGCTCTTTAACTCCTTCCACAGAGCTTTCTTTCAGAATACCAGTCTCAGCGAGCACTGCCCCCTCAAATGGTCTTGCAAAGAATAGAGCAAACCGTTCTCTCTTGCAAGTGACAAGACTTGATTTCAAGGCACTGTACTTAATCTTTCAGAATTTATGAAGTATCTTTCAGATATGTTGCACAACGTAATGCAATTAATGCAAGTACCTCCACTCACATACAATGGAAAGGGTCTAGAGAGATGCTCCCGTGAATGCACAAGGAACTTCTAGCAATCCTCGAAGTTTTCCTGGCAGAGATGAAATCAGGTTCAATGTTTGAGAACCGGGGCCTGGGGATCAAGAAACGAACATTTCCCCAAGTCCTTGAACAGGGTAGCTGGAAGTCTTTTGATAAATTCCCAAGTAGCAGTTTCCTCACCTAGGGCTGGGGTCCACTTGACTTCCATGCACCTTTCAACACATTATTTTCTACCGCTATGAATCGATGAGAGAAAGCGATTTTCTCTTCTATCAGCAAGCTGGGGATGGGGTATAGTGCTGGATCAGTGTGGAGTGCGCCTTCTACCCCTGTGCCTTAAGTTCAAAGCAGCACTCAGTTGGACAACCAGCCTGGCCAGAAGCATGTTTCCAGGCTTTGCCGGACAGATAACGCAGGATTTGCCCCCTGGATCACCCGCCAAATCTCAAGAGCACGGGAGCACATCGCTTCTCAAGAATCACAACCGAATACTTTTGAGAGGCACTGGGACAGAAAGGGGGCCTCGACAATATCATCTCCAGGGAAAAAGCACAGGTACATTTGCCATCTCCAGAGACAAGGGATCTCCCGTTTGTGGCTGGTTGGTGGTACAACATGCTGCATCTCCCTTAGTCACCAATTTCATAGAAGATGACTCAAGCTCGTGCTGTGAAAGGCGTGGGGTGGTGGTGCTAGAGACAAGCAATAGCCAGGAGTCCAGCTTTCCAGCTCAGGGACCCACCGCCCCTCTAGCCTCCGCCTCTGCGCGTACCTTTCTAATTTTATTACTGCTTTTTAACTCTCCTGGCCTTTCTTTCTTCCCGATTTCTAGTTGAGTGGAGCACTCCGAGGCCGAAAGGATGAACCCTGTCTTTCAGGCAAAATGTAAATAAATATTTATATAATTTTGCACGACTATTGCGTCATCATTAGAGTCGTCGTGGCTCCTGAGAGGCCTCCACGTCTCCTCCCGGCACCGGGGGCCTTATGGACGCTTCCCGGCGCTGCCCGCACTTTCGCGAGGAGCCCTGGGCGGCTCCCCACCTCCCCTCAGCCCCTCCCCCAGCCCGGGTCTCCGCGAAAATGTAAATAAATATTTATATAATTTTGCACGACTATTGCGTCATCATTAGAGTCGTCGTGGCTCCTGAGAGGCCTCCACGTCTCCTCCCGGCACCGGGGGCCTTATGGACGCTTCCCGGCGCTGCCCGCACTTTCGCGAGGAGCCCTGGGCGGCTCCCCACCTCCCCTCAGCCCCTCCCCCAGCCCGGGTCTCCGCGCCCCCCGGCACCTCCTCCTCCACGCCCTCCGCGCCCGCCACGCGGGGAGTCAAGCTAGGGTGAGCGGCAGAGCCACGCGGCGCGGCGGGGGCGCGCGGAGCGCGGGGCTGGCGACCCGCACTCGGTAGGCGCCGGGCCCGCCCTCCTCCGCCGAGCAGGGCGGGGACCGGG